ATGGTGGAGCAGACTCGATGGGCCAAATAGCCTAATTTCTGCTCCTACATCTTATGGTCTTACTCTGTACCTTCTCATTTGACTACACCAGGGTTTTTGGCAAAAATGCATTCACTTCATAAAATGAAAATGGTTTATAGCTGCTGTCTTGCCTAGCTGCAGTTAGGATCTGAAGCTGTTGCTTTTAATGCTGACAGTTCATAGCTGCAGCTACTTTTTACCTTCTCTGGTGATACTGGGGAGGAATTGCTTGCTTTCTTTTAAAAATCCATCCACCTCAACCAGCCAGTTTCAACCATTACAACGGATTTCCCATCAAAACTGATAGTTCTGAGGACTGTTGGTACTTGTATAATTAGTTTAATCTTGGTACATCTAGAAATCTTGAAGATTAACTAAAGGGATAGTTCAATGAAGCATATACATCTTTATGGTTTATACAAGTAATGTAAAGGCTAGCTTGGCATTTCTCACCTGTGTTCTAGGAAATTGTGGGCATTTTATTGGGTTATTCCTATTTTTGAAGAAATTACAATTTACAAACAGGAAAGCTTTTGCAAATACTAGTACCTTGTACTTTTGGAGTACAGTGAACAGAAGTAGTGGATTTGTATTGTGCTCTGGAATATGGATGGATACTTCTAAGAATCCCTAAAATGTACTTGGTACTTAAATATGCAAAAATGGGGCTCATATTACTGACACAAATTCTCAAAATCACAATGTTCGTCATAATGCAAGAAGTTCTCAGCAATAAAAACATAGTGCAGATGCTGGAAATCTGAAATAAACAGAGAATGCTGGAGAAGCTCAGCAGGATTGGCAGCATCTGTGGAGCGAGAAACAGAGTTAGTGTTTTGAGTCCGATACAACTCTTCAGATCTGAAGAAAAATCATATTGTACCCAAAACATTTTTCTCAAAGCGTTTTTTTTTGAGTAAATTCTCAGCAATGTTTGAAATCTGAATGCTGATCAGGTTGTTTCACAGTAAAGCTATTCTTTAGCCTGGCTGTCAGATGTTTATGTTTGTATCTATTCATTGAATTTATTGATACAGGATAAACCAGTGAAGCTCAAAGTCTAGTTACAGTGGGTTCTTGACCAAGTGTGGCTTACAGACACAAAACAGTACAGGAGCCAAACTAGACACAACACGGTACACACGATAACCTTCAACACTTCTAACTTCAGCTGTTACTCCTTTGAATCTTGTAGGTGGTTCTTGACCACAAATGAATGAAGAACAACTTGTCTTAAATTGCCAGTATCTGCCTGCAAGTTAAATAAATCTTTTGATGTTATTAGTGGTTTACTTTGTGGAATATTACCTTGAGATTTTTTTTTAACAAATCAACTTTTAATGAACAGGTATTGGTAGTCTCCCTTCAAGGGACATTTTGAGCCATTGAGTGGTCAAACAATATTTAATTTAATAGAATTATAGAAATGACAGGATAGAGGATTACTAATTTGATACTCTTGTACTACAATTAAACAGAACCCAAATTGCTGATCTTTGTCATATTTGTTGTTTTAATAACAACTGATTGATTACAATGAAGAGACAGAGCTCAGAGTGTGGCAGAATTAATGCAACTGATCCATATAGATTTGAAATATAAAAAATTCTCTTTTTCCAACAATGTAAACTTTTCATGTGGGGAAGACAGGATGGTGTTAAGGCTTCTCAATGCTGTCTGGGTAAAAGCTGTGGCATACTCATATTTCAATATCACAGCAAGAATATTTCAGCATTTAAGTATACTTTTCAAAGTGAAAAGAATTCCTCTTGCACGTATCGTTTGTAGTACCAGACATTCATGAAGATTTACCTTTTAGTGAAACAACAAATGGTTTTAAAAAAAGGAACCAAAGCATTTCTTTTCAAACATCATTCTGTTTGCAATCCAGAACAAAATGACATCATTCCCTGGGCATCTCTTGACGTTGTTAGAATTTAGACATGGTCTTTAAAATGCATATGATATTATTATAGCCTTATAAATACAATCACCCCTCAATCAAACCTTCTTCCTATCAACTGATCCCATTAGAGCACTGACTAATTTAACAAAACATGTTTTAGTCATATGAATCAGAGCTAAAATAAAAAAAACTAATAGCAAAAAACAGAAAATAGAAGCCAACATTGAACAGGAAAACTGAAATGGTAGACAATACCATATCAGTGTGAATAATATTGGGAATAAGCACAACTTTGTAACATTTGAAAAATTTAGATAATAGCTTCACTCAATCACATATTATAGTTTATGATGTCAACCCATGCCCTTCTGGTGTGTCAAATCCCCTGGACTACACTCGGATTTAATATGATCCAGGCAGTTATGGAAATGGTCAAACTCATTAACTAGACAGTATGACATTGAGCTTAATGAAGTTAGTAATCTTTTTTCATTGTTTTCTAATGTGATCACCACCCAATGATTCTTACTGGAAAGCAGACACATAGTCAGGCTATACTCAGTGTGCACTGGATTATGATGGTCTGCATTGTTGAACTGCCTGTTAACACCCCCTGTCCAGGCTAATGCAAAGGAGCCAAATGGGTAAGATTCTGCAGCACTGCCCACGTTTGCAGCAAGTTGTGAAGCGTGAATGTAGAATTTGTGTAAGGTGCTGAGGGTTGTTGTCCTGTGGCTCAAACACTGCACATGGGCAACAGTACATGATTGTACAATATTCCAGTTTTGGCCTGTACCCTGCAGATCTCCACTCGATTCGCTGCTTCCTCCATTTCTTCCCTGAGTGCATCAGCCTTGGCGCCAGACGACTGCAGATTGCTCGTCAGCCCTGATGACTTTGAAGACTGCTGCCACCTAGATTGCAGAAGAGAAGAGAAGCTGTGAGCAAAATGTTTCCAACGGGCAAAACAAATGGGACATATCCTTAAAAGATATTTAACTTCAGCTATATCAAAGCGAGGAAAAACAATGAAAACTGATGTTGTTTATTTTTCATCACTTTCTTACTGATCTCATATACTGAATGTGTTCTGATACCTTTCACTCTACACATGTTATCTGACCAAACACAATGTAATTTGTTATTAGAAACACAGTGTGGAGCTGGAGGAACACAGCAGGCCAGGCAGCATCAGAGGAGCAGGAAAGCTGACGTTTCGGGTCAGGACCCTTCTTCAGAAAATTTGTTATTGACAGAATAATTTGTTATTGACAGTCAGTGTAGCTTTGGTAGTTAATGAATGACAATACCCATTACTAATGGATTGTAATGTTCGGTTTATTGTGTGATAACCCAGTTTACCAGTCTATATATATGTACATCTAACAGCCTTTAAAAATAGTCTTGAAGTATTCTCAAAAGGCCAAAGCAATCACATGTAACCTTTACAGAATGCTTTCTTACTAAATATTTTTGCCACTAATACTTTCAAGCCAATGTATTATCGAGTTATCTTCCTTGGTAGCATAAAGAAATGATATGAACAAATCAGTTCCTTTATTCAGGTTCTTCGGGATGATTCCCATTGTTTGGAAGCTGGGTGACAATTAGAGTGATGCAGTGATAAGTGACTGATATTCCCTGTCCCATTTGGTACACAGAGTGCAGAGGTCAGATGCCTCGTCATCACACTGCTCCTCAATGTGAGAATCAAATCCCATCATGCAATGGCTTTGGACGTGTTCATATAAACATGGTTCTCATTGGCTGCCAGATGTAAAATCTCTCAACTCTGTGTCACCAGGCAGCAGATGTGCATGTGATTTATGACACATGTTTAACACGAGGAAAACTTAAACTCAGAGATGAGAGGACAATATCTTATTAACTGACTGCGCCATTCAATCTCCAGCTTTTGTTTTATTGAGTTGGAAGCAAACTAGCTAATGAACATCAGCATTCTAAACAATGTCCTGAGCCAGAGTCTCAAGGTATTTAAGTTACATTTGTCATGTTTGGAGCTGATTCATTTGACACAGGGATGACATCAAGTGGTATACTGTGAATTTGATGCTAACTGTGTGGATAAATAAGCAACAATGATTGACATACTCTTCACATGAAACATAGCATTCCACACACTGTAAAATAATACAGTTTCGAAAAGAATCGTATGGAATAGCAACACCCAGCAAAAAGTAAATGGTCAAGTTATATATTGAATACATTTTGTACAAAGTACAAGCGTTGAAATGGACTCTCAATCCTTTCCACTAAAATGCCATGAAACTTACAAGTTGCAAAAGTGAAAATGTAATTGTGTTTAATTTTCATTCAAATAGTTAAAAAAAATTCTAACCATTTTCTAAAATTAATTATACATTCCCATAGTCATACAGCATAGAAACAGGCCCTTCAGCCCACCATGTCTATGCCAATCAACCTACACTAATCCCATTTAGCTGCACTTGGTCCATAGTCCACAATGCTACAAGGTATGTTAAATACTCGTCCAGAAGTTTTCTCAATGTTGCGAGAGTACTTTCTCCACCACCCTCCCAGACAGCATGTTCCATATTTCTACCAATCCCTGGATGAGAAAATTTTTCCTCAAGTCTCCTCTAAACCATTTGCTCCTCACCTTAAACTAATGCCCTGTAGTCTCAGACAGGATCTGCCATGGGAATTCTCACAATCTACTCTATCTCATAATTTTGATATATCTCAATCAGATGCCCCTCTGTCTCCTCTGTTCCAAGGAAAATAAGCCCAGCATATCCAGTCTCTCCTCATAACTGAGACTTTTCATCCCAGCTAACATCCTGCTGAATCTCCTCTGCACCCTCTCCAGTGTAATCACATCCTTCCAACAGTGTGGTGACCAGAACTACATACAGTATTCCATATGTGGCCTAACCAATGTTTTACAAAGTTGCATTATAACGTCTCAATGGCATTGATTAGTTTGTCTGTGAATTTCTAAAGTAAAGTGTTCTATTAAAGTGGTTTGTAGTATGGGGCGAATTTCCATTATTTTACTGGAAATGGCAGCAGAAGGTGGCAAACAAACATTCAGTAGAAAATCTGAACCTGCACTTAATCAGGTTTACCTGTCTGTCCTCATTCCTGCTTTGCTTGTTTGTACCCATCCCAAGTGAAATGGCAGCAACTATTTAAACAGCTGCCACACTTCACAGAATGGTTCTGGCTCCTTATCTTTGTCTAACAACTACTGAAATCAGACAGAGTGAATGTTCAGTGCAAAAGGGAGAAGGTTAAGTTATAAATACACGAACATGCAAGCAACAACCAGAGTAGGCCATTTGGCCCTTCGAGCCTGCTGTGCCGTTCAATATAGTCATGGCTGATCTGATCATGACCTCAACTCTACACTCCTGGGTATCTCCAATAATCTTTCATCCCCATGGTGATCAAGAATGTATCTACCTCTGTCTTAGAAATATTTTAAAATTCTGCATCCACCGCCTTTTGAGGAAGGGAATTTCAAAGACTCACAGTCCTCTGAAAGGAAAAACTGTTTCCTCATTATCTTTTTTTAAAATGTGAGTCTCCTTATATTTAAGCTATGATCCCTAGTTCTAGGTTCTCCCACAAAAGGAAACATCCTTTCCACATCTACCCGATCAAGTACCCTCAGGATCTTATACGTTTCAATTCAATATTTGAAAATGGGTTGCTGTGCTGGGAGCAGCCCACACAGGACTGGACCTAGGGGTGTGGGGAAGGGAGCGAAGAGGGAGATGGTGTTCATGCTCTGAAATTGGTAGATTCAACTTTGAGTCCTGAAGGCAGTAGGGTGCCTCGGTGGAAGGTGAGGTGTTGTTCCTCCAGCTTGCATGGAGCCTCACTGGAGCACTACAGCAGGCCTGAGACAGAAGTCTTGGCACGGGAACACTTTGAAGTGACAGGTAACTGAAAGCTCCCACCTAGCTGTGATCTCTTCAGCACTCTCTGTTTTTGCTCCAAAAGTACTTCATTAGCTGTAAAGTGCTTTGAGGCATATGGCGATGGTGAATGTGCTATATAAATGCAAGTTTATTTTCACCACTGTTCGAATTTCTCTGTAAACCTTGAACTTCTTGTTTAGCCAACTGCTTCCTAAAAATCATTAATCAGCACATTAATTTGCACCAATTGCATGTTTCACACATCTCCTGAAGGGGAAATGAATTCAAATCTTTTATTATCACTTGAGCATTAATTGCATTTTTATGCCTCCAACTACTGCAAACATCATTTAAATGAATTAACTAACCTAAATACCTCTTGCCATTTTAATAGTAGCTAGGTTCAGTAGATGTTTACTTGTTTTTGGGTCAGAAGATTGTCAGATCAACCCATAATCTAACGGAGGGTGGCATTTCAATGTAGGCTTGAGCTACTGCTATTTTGTGAGGTGCCAGCTGCCAGAGGAAAGTGTGGCCTTATCTACCTGTTCAGGTGCATATTAAAGAATCCGAGGCACCATTTGAAGAACTGAAGCTTCTCCCAAATCCTAATCATCCAAATCCACCTTCACAAAAATGTTATCTGCATATTTATTTCACTGCTGTTTGTGTTAGCTCGCTCTGTGCAAAATGGCTGTTGTGCTTGTTGACATAGCAACCATGGCTGTACCTTAAACAAATTAATTGAACGGAAAATGCTTTGTAACTTCCCAAAGGACATAATCAGGCATTTATATAAACGCAAACTCTTCTCTGATGGCCAGATTGTGTTTCCATTAAATCTGAACTCCAGCGGAACTAGATCTACACTGTAAATTGGAAGTCACACACCACCAGGTTATAGTCCAACAGGTTTATTTGAAATCACAAGCTTTCAGAGTGTAAGGGGCTACCCTCCGAAAACTTGTGATTTCAAATAAACCTGTTGGATTGTAATCTGGTGTCATGCGACTTCTGACTTTTTCCACCCCAGTCCAACACTGACACCTCCACTTCACTGTAAATCGGAGCACCATTCAACATTCTTTAAATTATGGCCTACTTTAAGATAACAAATATCCCTCAATGTTCCACATCTCCTGGTTTGAAGTATTATTACTTTAAATTCCAACTGATGACCTCATTTCATCTCATTTCATATGAGGAGATTCAGCTGAATCTTATTAAGTTCCTTTTAGCGATTTCCTGGCCATATACCTTGGAATTATCAGCCAGTTTGATAATATTGCAAAATAATTTCTGATAGTCAAAGCCTTATGAATCCAACATTAGTTCTTTGCATTTGCAAATCAATTTTCAGCCCAGTTAAGCCTTTATATGATGTCCTTTCCTAGTTTCTCTTCTTTTTATTTCTCATAGATATTCACAGAATTCCAGTAATATGTTAGTTAATTATTTTATTTAATTTATTGTTTTGCTATACTGCACAAACTGTTCAGGTTGAAGAAAGGAATTGCACACAAAATCTACTGGATTATTGGAAAAACCCAACAGGTTCACTAAACCATATGGTAAGATTGAGTCTCAACGGTGTCTGAAAAGAATGCACCAGTCAGCTGTACAATTCGAACTACAGGATAACAACAAATGAAGCCTTTCTAGCATTCCTCTTTTGCTTGAGTTCTCAACCCGAAGGCAAGTCTGACTTACAGTGCTGTAAAATCCACCACAAGTAGTGCAAGGAGATAAGTCCTAAATCTTGTCCAGCCAGAGCAAGAACTGAACCCTGCGCTGTTAGCACCAATCTATTCACATTGACCATCCAACTAACTCAGCCAACCGCTCCTCACCCCCTGAGGAATCCAAGTTGCTGCGGTACAATACACTTTATATACATGTTGTAAAACTGCAGCTGTGGGTAGTGACTGTAAAGGCTCCAATTTTCTTTCCAGTACACGGCTGACCAAGCATCTCTCCTGCTTATACTTGGCATGAGCAGAAGGATT